CCCAGTCGCAAGGGCCTGGCCTCTAGTCCCCTGGTTTCTCCTGTTAGTCCTGGTTTCTCCTGCTAGACCAGATTTCCCCTGAGTGATACCTCTCACAGTTCAAACTGTACTYTGGGCCTGCCGTTTGTTGGGTGTGGAGGATGGCTATTGGGAACCCCGGCACTCTATTGTTTTGATTTTTTCCGCTTGCCCCTCCCCCAGCGCTGGCAAGACAGGTTTTGTTTCCTCCGCTGATGGGAGGGGGAGTTGAAGGTCAGGTGTCTCTAGCCTTCCCCGAGTGTTTATAATCCCTACCCCAGAAAGCCTAGGTGAGATTTTATGCGAATTCCCCACTGTATGGGAGATGAGCTGAGTAACATGCACCTGTTTTATTGTTGTAATCTGTCGGAGAGTGGCTGTGGTTACTTCAGCTCTCCAAGATGGTGGCCTCTGGTTTCCTTTGTGGAGTTTCCGTTGTGGGGGATAGAACTGTACCACTTCCTTCCCCTTCTGAAATCCCGAACTCAGCCCGGGGTTCAGTGAGGGCTCAGCCGGCAGGATTCCATAGAACCCGCAGCAATGTTTCTCTCTACTTGCTGGCCTTTGGCAGCAAAGATAGAATAACTTATTCTGAGAACAAGTCTGGAGTTAATTTCTTGTTGCTCTGCAAAGTCTGACTTTGCTCAATTTAGGTGCTTTTCATTCAGAGTGCAGACTCTTCTTTAGTCCCAGTATTAACTGCTATCCCAGTTTTCTAGAGCCCCAGATTTTCTACAGAAAGGCATTTAGGAAACCCCTTCCTTCACTCCCTCCTTTCACTGTATGTGATTAGCCTCCCAGAGAGCTATGGTCAAGACTGCATTTGCACATTTGTCATTGTTAGGAGTAGCCCTGTCCCTGGAGGGTGAATTGAAGCTCATTCATCCAGAGAAGACTGTCAGTGACAGGCACTGCTTCCTCCTCCCAGGCTTCTGAAACAGGCAGTATACTCTTGTAGATCATTACTCCTTCAACAATATATCAGAAACGTTTTTTAAGTAATGTTTTAAAATAAAGAACAGGTCTTCCATAACTTTTGTTTTGTTTAGGATTTGTTATCAGTAAAGAGAAGAGATGGTTTAAAGATTTTTAGCCATTTCATCCTTAGCCATACAACACCCTCACGTGTCTGATTTGTGATTGAGAATATGAATGCAGTCTTTTGCTTATTAATTTAAGTTTTTTTCCCTTGAGTTTTAAGGATTCACAGAATTGAGAGAATATAAATTGTATTAATGACTAGAAAGTAGAAGGCAGGATCACAGTGAAGGAAGGTCTGCTGTTGTGCTGGCCTCCTGCAAGATGGGAATGGGCAGGGCTGCTGGGCATTCCTACACTCCCCTTACCAGGAAGCTTTGTTAATCTACAGTTAATACTTCTGTGGTTGGCATCAGCCAACCTACCTTTCTTTTCTTTTTTCAGAATGCCTTCTTAAGGCAGTAAAGCAATAGAAGTTGTAGATTCTTCATGTATACATCTAATTTAAGATTTCTCTTTTCATGTAGAATCATAAAATATGCATTTTGGGGATAATTTTTTTACGTCTTAAGTTTTACAACATAGAGCTTAGATCATATTTGGCAGTGATTTTTAAGCAAAGAAAAACCTACAGTTATCTCTGTAGATTATTATCCTAAAGAGAAATCTCTCTTTGCTCAGGTCCAGTTAACAGCAGAAGGTAAAGTTGTAAGATTTGGGGAGTATAAATGTTACTTCTTTATCTGATTTTGAAGGCCCCATAATCATTAGAAATCTGACTTTCTAATTTCTTCACATTTTTATGCTTAAATTGCATGTTACTTCTTTTGTTTCTTCTTATTATTAGGTATTTCAGGATTCTGATAGTTACCAGTCTTATAGAAAGCTGGTAATCCTTAACTGTAATATTGCAAACAGCAGCCATAAGAGTGTATGATTTTTCTTGTATGTTTATGTACTTAAGTTGGGTGGAGGAGTGAAAAATCAAAGGTTATTGCCATTGCCCTTGTTTACTCTAGCATTTAGATTCTGGAAAGTGCCTCTGATATTCCACTGCCTACACCTTTATCATTCATAACTCAGTTTGCACCTGGGGTAAAGATGTGTGTCAGACTGTATATTCAGTTGGGCCCTGGCATTGCTAATGGAATTGGCAAGCCTATTCATTTAGAATTGTGGATGAGTGATCATTGCCTTAGCAGTCACAACAGAGCAACATTCTCAACACAGTCAGAGCTTTAGTAAAGCTAAACACAACTTGGAAAGATAATTTCTGGCTATATAAGCTAGATCATTGAGATAATTTGGTAGAAAGGTAAAGATTTTCATTAAGCACTTATCATCCAGGAGGGGTCCAGCTGTTAATGTTTTTGAGAACCCAGTTGAAGGACAGTGTTGTGCTTATCTGGAATATTCTATGTTCCCTTGGGCCCATCTTGATGTCTTCACGACATTTTAAAATTTGAATAAAAAGACTTTTGTTCAAATAAAAACTATCTTGGCTTAAAGTCAGCACTTATGTACACCTATCAAATGAGAATGRTAGTTTAGAATTTTGATTTGCTTCCTTCAAAAACAGTTGCAAAATTCATCTTTACTTGTGTATACCAGTATTTCCTTCCTAATGCCCTTGATTCCTCATTTTTTTCCCACATTATTGACTATAGCAGAGAGCCACTTTCTGAAGTTACTGTTCAGGCAGGTTAAACAAGCCCCCTTAAAACCTGTAAATTATTTGCTCTGGGATCTTTCAAAGTTTGRCCACCAACTCATGATGTGATATCTGTTTTGAGTGTATATAGTTGCTTAGTACAGAATCTTCAAATATGTTCTCAAAAGCACATAATCTGTGAGAAGTAAAGCCTCATTGATACTCTTGTCATCTCTTTTGGGAAATTTGGGAGTAGGGATAGGTGTATGCCTATTTTCTTTAGAAGGCAAAAGAGAAAAATCCTCAGAGATCTTTGTGTGTTTTCCCCTCTTTCAGGTTGCCAACTTGGCCTGTTCCATCTCAAACAATGAAGAAGGAGTAAAGCTTGTTCGAATGTCTGCAAGCCAGTTAGAAGCCCTCTGTCCTCAGGTAAAGTACAACTGGAAATGTTTATGATGTCACCAAATTGGATTTTATTAGAATGGAAATGAAGTTTAAGGTCTTTCTTTTCCTTTTCCTTTTCCTTCTCCTTCTCTTCCCCTTTTTCTTTCTTTTTACCCTCACTCCTAGAATTTTAAATAGAAGTCTTGGAGTTGAGTCACTGGCATAAATGCTATATAGATTGGAGACGTTTATGTTTAAGTGTTTCCTCTTGGCATTACTACCTCCTTGCCCTACATTAAAAATGCATAGTCTTGTTGGACTCACATGCTTATCTAGTACATGCAAAGAAGGCCCCGGCATTGAGTGGTGGAAAATACACACACCTACATAAGTAAATATATGCATAGTGTCCTCAATTTCTGGAGAGTGATTACACTGCTCAGTTGATACCCTTTTCATCAGGAATGGGGGGTGGGGGCACCTGCAACATCCAACTGGAACCATAATGGTTCCTCTTATCCTTAAGTGGTAACAGTTGTTCACCTGCATTCAATATCTATTGGAGGAAATCACATTGCAAAGCTTGTCTTCTTGCACTAAATGTCTTAAAGCAGCCTATGATACAATTTAATTCAGCTAGCCTCTAAAATAAAAGATCAAGAACTTTTCTACATTCATAAGGGCATATTGGAAGACAGGTAATTAGGCTAGGTCAAGCATGTGGCACTTTAGAAAGACTGAAGAACATAGAACATTGAATGCTTTGTGTGTTTATGTGTTACTGGGCATTGAACCCAGGGGTGCTCTACTAGTAAGCTCTCTCCCACATCCCTATTTTTCATTTTGAGAGTCTTGATAGGTTTCCAAGGCTAGCTTTGAGCCTTGAATCCTTCTGCCTCAGCCTTCTGAGTTGTTGAGATTATAGGTGAGCTCCACCAGGCATGGCACAAATGTTTTATTAAGTACCCAGTGTAAATTGCATGTTTCCCATGATAGAGCTCACCTTGTCTGTGTGATTCCTGACATTCAGATTTCTAAGCAGTATAAGTGTGTTTCAGTGGAACTAGTTGCCTTCCCTTTTTCTCAAGTAGAGAATGTTCATGGCACACTCTGAGGATTTACATTAACCTCTCAGTGCATGTCCTGCCAGCTGGCAGTGACCACTAACAAATGGGAATAAGCAGAGGAACTGGAGTAATAAGACAGTGATCATAGAAATGACACTATTACTTTGACTCTTTCCTATAAATAAATATTCGCTTGAACCCAAGTTGGTTATTTTTCCAATGATTTTTTTTTTTGTCTTAGTGTGATGCCTGGCTTTCCATGGCTTTAATCCAATCCTGAAATATGCCAGTGATTGGTACTGTACAGATAATAAGTGCAGTGGTGTTAATCACCACCAAGTTGTATGAAATAAATTTAGATTGGATTTCTAAAGATTGGGCATTCTTTCTTCAAATTTGCCATTTTACCCTATCAACATTTTGTTTTTAATATCTTTGGGTTCTCCATTTGGTTTTGAAATGCGTGAAAAGTGACAATGCTTCCACATATCTGCAAAAACAGATGGTAACATAACGCTGATCACACCTACCAAGAGTATTTATATAAATGATCTTAAAGTTTAGGGGAAAAAAATCACATGAAGTGTCTAGTATATCCTAATGAAAATGCTAGTGTCCATAAACCGTGTGTGACTAGCCCATGTGCCGTTTTTACTTTGCTGCCAGAAAGCCTCATTTCTCCCTCTTTTTGCAGTTTTCATGTCTCCTACTAAACCAGGCATCAGGAGGAATGGGCTTTAAACTGTGTCCAGACAACACTTGGTATTGGGTATATGATCTGGATAAAAAGATGTTCTCCAGATGTGATTGTTTTCCAGATTCTCACTRGGCCTGTTCCTGCCCTTGCTCACAAACTGCCATGCACTTAGGGCTGAGGCAGGTTCAGTAAGGACAAATACAGTGGGTGTTCTCAGTTTTGGTAATGGCAAACTGAACAGGATGGGTCATTTGATTTTCAGTGAGGAAACTGTGACTCATCTGTCATTATTGACAGATCCTTTCATTATTCTGAAAGATCTGTCAGCAATTCAAATTATTAGTCTCAGTATTGAACAATTGATAGCCTAAAACTTTGAAACTCTTTGAGGGTAGTAAGTCTTAATCTTCTGTGAGCTACACCTGACCTAGCCTTACCCATGGATTTATGCTTCAAGGAGGTGTTTGAGTAATTGTTTCATACCTTCCCTTCAATCCTACATTTAGAGTCCAGGCATGAGGAGATGGGGAGAATAACCAGACTAAGTAAATGTAGTTCTCTTGCTTCTCCATGTTTGAGTCCACTTGAAGTTGAATGCTGAAGAATTTTAAAGTGAAACCCATTTAGCATGGTTAAATGCAGAAAACCATGAGTTTTATTTTGCACATGTTCAATTTGAAATATCTATGCTATATAGGCAGAGATATTAGGATATACTTGGGATATGAATTGGGAATTGCAATGATTGGTCTAAGTGGGAGATATGGGAATACTTGGCATATGGGTGGTATTTAAAATCATGAGACTAGATAAAATTGCTTAAGATGGGAGGAGTGTAGAAAAAAGAGAAAAGCCAGTCCAGGAACTCCAACACTACCTGTTGAAAGAAGTCAAGATAGCAAGGGAGACATAGAAGAAATAGAAGTAATACATTTTATTTAGAAACTATCAAGTTATAAAATAAAGAATACCTCTAATCTCTCTACTCTGAAGGCAAACAAGGAATGGAAGAGAAATTCCTCAGCCTGGTAAAGGATATCTATGAAAAATTGATAGATTTTGATCTACAACTTCAAATTTAATAGTCTAAGACTGGATACTTGGGCTGGGGTTGTGGCTCAGTGGTAGAGTGCTTGCCTTGCACATGTGAGGCCCTGGGTTTCATCCTCAACACCACATAAAAATAAATAAATAAAATAAAGGTGATGTGTCCACCCACAACTAAAAAATATTTTAAAAAAGACTGGGTGCTTAACTTTATGATCAGAAAAAAAGACAAGGATATTCACCCTTGTCAGTTGTAGAACATTGTACTGGAAGTTCTACCAGTAGCTGTGTTTTGAAAATTGACACCAATACAGACATTTGTGCCTAGTTTTATACTCTTTGCAAATTTGTATTTCTTTCCCTCAGACCCCCAGATGTTTCCTAGTCATTACTACTTCACATTAGAATGCAGTCCATGTCTCTCCTTGTTTTTCTACTGGTATTTTGGTGTTCTTCGTACTGACTTATCTGTATATTTAATCTGACATATATGTTTAAATGCATAAGTCAATCAGAATTATAAATTGACGGATCCCATTGTAACTTAGAAATAGAGAATTTCCTAAAGAAAAATATTTGTTTAAATATTAATAAATAAATTCATATAGTTTTGTTGTTTTTAGGTTTAATTTCATTATCTGGAAATAATCTTAGCACATAAAAGAAATAAGCAATGATGAACTTAGTGCATATGATATGTGTATGTGATTCAGCACTTAAATGAAGTAGGTAATAAAGTATTAAGTGAAGACATAATTTTATTTTTCTCTAAAAAATAAAATATCATATGTAAAAATAATGCACCTGTTCCCCACTGATTTATGATGTCACTTTTATCATACATAAACTTTGCCAATGATAGTCTCTGTTTTTTTATACTATTCTGATCACTTTAGTTTTGTAATGCTTTTGAACTCCCTTTTCATTACTGTTGCTTTCTGTCTTCAATTTTTTCTTGGCGATTGTCAGCCATTTATTTTCATATTAATTTGTGGATAAATATGTCAGTCTTCCTATCCCTGAATGAGTTTCCATTTATTTTAGTTTGTTTAATGTACCTTAGAAAAGTTGAGCTACTTGGTTTTTACTTTGTCATGCTGGTTTCTTGATAGATTGAATTCCATGTATTTCATTATTAATTGCTTTTGTGGAGATCTGACACTCCTCATTTTATATTTTGTTATTTTTTGATAATGTAGAAAGGCTGTTGATTTTTAAGATATCTATACTGTCTCTAGCAATTCTAAGAGTTTTTTTTTTTTCAATTGATACACTTCAGTTTGCTACATAAAGGTAAAATCTGTGTTGAACAGTAATTTTCTCACCTYCTATTTCTAACAGCTTTTTCCTGGCATTTCCATATCTCATTTATTGACTAGAAAGTCCATTTACTTATTATTTAACTAATGGTGACAGCAGGTATTCTTATTAATACCATTTTGATTTTTAAGGTAATTGGTGCTTGAGTTTTATGACCATATCATGTTGGACAATTACTTAAAATAGTATGTTAATGAAGTATCTTTCTATTCCTAATAGAAAGGAGTAATTTTTACCAAACATCTTTAATAAACAGTTTTATAATCAAAAGGAGAATGATAACTTCAGATGAGGTGGATCCCCAGTGTACAGTATATACAGTAGAAGATATATCTCTTTATATTTAAAACATAATTCTCTGCCCATGTAGGAAACATTTTCTTCAGCTAAATACTTGTATGATGTCTAGCTCAACGCAAATACATTGACATATTAGTGAAATAATGAGTTAATGAAAACAGTAGTCCATAGTGAAAAAAGAAGGGTAAGAAGGAAAAGCTAGAAAGAATAAGCCTTAGAATGATGAAAATGTGGGAGGCCACAGCATAATATGGGCAAAGGCAGGCTATCTCTTCCTCCAAATTATTGTCCGAACCCAGACACTTTGAAAGGGGTGGGTCATTGGTAAGTAATAAGCTCAAATGGCTTCATTCCAAGTGTTTAGAGGGAAGAAGAGTAGTGCACCAGTCTAATGGGTCTGATTCTTCTTTAGTCTGTTATCATTTACAGCTTTTATGAGCCAAGTTAATAACATAGTTCTTAAATGCCTCTGCAATAAATTGGAACTTCTATATATGATCTGAAGTGATATGCTTCCTGTAGCACCTTAAAAAGCCATCCCAAACTCTGTTCTCAGGTTTGCATGCCTGTTGCCTGTAGCTTTCTGCCTTATTCAGATCCCTATTTCATTCCTTTCTACCAGTTTCCTCTTGTCTGTGCTTTCTTTCTAAGTTGCATTACTTTAAACACATTTATTTCCATTAATCCATAAGTATTCTTGTACTTAGAAGTCCTATTATTCTCAGTTCATTTTGATACTGCTCTCATTGTTTAATTATTCAATGTATGAAAGAATATGAATAGACATACCCCAAAGAGTATATACAAATGGTTAATAAGCACATGAAAAAAAAAATCTAACACCATTAGTCATCAAGGAAATGCAAGTGAGGTAATTTTATATCCACTTTATAATTAACTTTAAAATTAGGGGCGGGGTGGTAAAGATGTGGGGTATCGGAACCATCATCCTGGTGGGAAAATAAAGTGGTACAGCCATTTTGGAAAACAGTAAGGCAGTTCCTCAAAAAGTTAAAGGTAAACTTAACCATATGATCCAGCAATTCTGTTCCATCCCCAGAGAAATGAAAACTGACACACATATATGAATGTTCATGAAGTATTATTCATTTGATGAGTGGATAAATAAATGTGACATATCCATATCATAGAATATTACTTTTCAGAAAAGGATTGAAGTACTGACAACATGCTAAAACATGAATAAGCTTTCAAAACATTTTGTTAAAGAAACTAATTATAGAAGTCCACAAATTATGTAATTCTGTTTATATGAAATGTCCAGAGTAGGCAAATCCATAGAGACAAGAGAGGAGGTTAGTGATTGCCAGAAGATGGCAGAAAGTAGTATGAAGGGAAATAGGGAATTACTGCAAATGTATATACAGGTTCTTTTTGGAGTGATAAAAATGTTCTAAAATTGAATGTGGTGAGTGTTGCATAACTGACTATACTAAAAAATCACAGAATTTTATATTCCTTAAGTGGGCAAACCATGATTCATGAATTATATCTCAATAAAACATTGGATATGTTCACCCATGTGTGCACTGTGCAGTGCTGTGGATTGAACCCAGCACCTTGTATATGCTAGGCACATGTTCTGCTGAGCTATCTTCTCTGTCCTAAAGAATTTTTTTAACTTAGCAGATTATATACTTTCCTATGTAATTTTTGTTGTTGTTATGTCTTTTTTTTTTTTTTTCTTTTTGTACTGGAGATTGAATCCAGGGGCACTTTACCACGGAGCTATATCCCCATTTCTTTTTTTTTTAATTTGAGACAGAGTCTTGCTAAATTGCTGAGTCTGGCCTCATCTTGCAATCCTCCTGCATCAGCTTCCCAGGTGTTGGCATTACAGGACTGCACCATTRTGTCCGGCTCCTGGGTAGTTCTTTTATGTGTTAAATATGCCTTTGTTAAATACAAGCAGAGGAAAATGGAAATTGAATGTATTTTTATGAACTATACTTTGATAGTGCATCTACAACGTGAAATGTTAGATTTTCATAACAAGATTATTAACTGGTGGTGGGAGAGTAAGCTAGAACAAGCTACTCTATAGTAGGAGAATAATATAGTATACCTATAAGATGGAATAATAAACAGTTAATATTTTCAATATATGTTTAATGATATGAAGGAATACTTGAAAAAACAGGATAGTCATTTTTATGTAGCATTTAATTTTCATTATGTAGTTCTTGATGTGTCTACATTGTGAACTGTGAGGAGAAAAAAGGCTGAATTTAATGTCAGAATTATAGAATTGCTATCATGGAGTGAAGAGATTAGAGGTACTTTTAATTTATTTAAAGTTGCACATAGTTTTTGAACAAAATATGTGTAACTTTGACTTTAACATAAAACCTATTTAACACTTCACTACTTCACCTTTGTAATAGTTATGGTGGAACATATGGTATAATGTGTCCTAGTGAAATTCATGTAAGACAAGACCATTGCCACTGTACTGACCAAATTGTCCCATCTGTTCCATTTGCATGATTCTGAAAAAAAAATAACTTTAATATCTTTTGTAGGTTATTAATGCTGCATTGGCTTTAGCAGCAAAACCACAGAGTAAACTGGCCCAAGAGAACATGGATCTTTTTAAAGAACAGTGGGAAAAACAAGTCCGTGTTCTCACAGATGCTGTTGATGACATTACTTCCATTGATGACTTCTTGGCTGTTTCAGGTAATGAACTGGTTCCCCAGCATAGCATGTAAGGATGTGCATAATTACTGGCATCTAATTTTATAGTAATAGACAAAGTCCCCCATGTCTAGGCAAGTAAAATAAATTATTTTAGTAATAATATTGTGTTAGTTTTCATTTTAATTTAAACAAACAAAGTACCATTGCCTCCTGAGTAATAGAAGGTGGAATTGGAGCTATTTCCCTCATGGTGGGGCTGATCGAGATCCTGGAAGCACGAGTTAGATTTTCTCTGCTTTCATAGACTTGTCAAGCACAGTAACCACCCTTCTTGCTGCTACTGTGTTTAGAAAAATTGTTGACCTGTGTTGATCCCAGTAGACACTGTGGTTGTGTTATAAGCCTATGAAACAGAAGAAAAAGAGCTTCTCAGTACCATCACCTTTAGTTTCCTTTTTAAAATAGGTTTTGTTTTGTTTTTTCCCCTCCCTTTTCTTGGAAAACCTCTCCTGTCTCAGAAATGATCACAGTTTAAATGCCTACTTTTCCAAAGACTCTTTGTCTGAATGATACGTAGATAGAAAACAGAGAGGAAATATTTAAGTGCCTTTTAATTATGAACTTAGAAAAAATAAATCTGTGTAATTCACCTCACAAAAACAGTTGATTTCATTATATAAACATAAACTGGTAATGACATAGTAAATTGCATTCATATAGAAAATGTCTGTCAAATGCAATTTAGTGTTTATCACACAGATAAATTTCAATCATGTCTCCTTAGAGTTGAGCAACATTAAATGCATTCTTCATTTATTTGGGCTTCTGTTGTCCTTGGCTTGGCTACATGGCTTTTCGCTGGAAGCACCTGGCTTCCTGAAGCCAGTGGCTGGGTTCTTGTAGGGCTGAAACTATCACCATAGGGAACTGTGGGCCAGAATGTGGGAGATTTTGAGTGGCAATGGGGCTTGAAAGAGAAGCAAGACTTAAGTATATGCATAGCACAATCCTCCAGCAATGACCTATATAAGGATGACCATGTGTTCTGAATACCAATGGTTCCCTGTCTTTACATGCTTTCCTTGGGTTTGGAAGTTCTGGCTTGAAAAGGTGAGAAGCAGACAGTCTGCAAACTGCAAAACAATAGGGCAAACCATGTTACTGAAGGACTGCCAAATTGCAGGTTACTGGTACTTTAAAACAAAAACTCATTTGCAAGCACAACTTTGCAGGTGCCAAAAATGCAGCAATGGCTTTTTTGGGTAATTTTGGCCTTCTGTTGTTTTTCCCATTGAAGTACCAAGTTATTCTTTTTCATAGGTTTAGAGAAAAACATTCCACCTTCACTGCACACTTTTAAGCAAACAATATATTCTGAAATCTAAATTCAAAGCCCCCCTCCGGATAAATACTGCATTTCTACAGTTGCTTTTTTGAGATTAGGTTGGGTATAGCTTAGACTTAGTCTCAAGGGATTTTCAGTTTTCTTACAGCAAAATAAAATGTAATAGAATCAATGTCTCTCATGCAACATTCTTCAAATCGGAGGAAAAAAAGGTATTCTGTAGTAGCATTTAGTGGGATCCAGGCAGTGTCTTCAAGGTATATGATAAAACAGAAGACTAGTAATAAACAAACAAACAAACAAATAAATAAATAAGTAAAATTTAGAAAATTTTTAAGAATCAAATTCTTTAGCATTATACTTTTGTCTGGTGACTGTGTTTAATTTTTATGCAAGTATATGAGAATTTGAGAGAGGATTGTTTTGATGGAAAGGAGTTTAGACAGTTTCTGTTCAGCAGATGAAAACATGGAACTGTTGTCTAAGGAAGCTGTAATTTTTTTTTTTTGTTTAATTTTTTGTAGTTGTAGATGGACAGCATACCTTTATCTTATTTGTTTTATTTTTATGTGGTGCTGAGGATCAAACCCAGTGCTCTGCCGCTGAGCTACAGTCCCAGCCTGGAAGTTGTAGTGTTTTTAGAGCATCTAAATCTTAGAGGGCTACCTGGTATGTTTTTCTAATGTTTTGTCATAGGGTTGCTTGAGGGCTGTCAAGTAATAATTAGTAGGACAAGGCTTTTATTCACAATTCCTCTGCTTTTTAGGGGCATAGGAGGAAGGGAGGAGACGAGCAGAAGCAGATGCAGAGTTCTAGTAGACTGAGCAGTTAATGTCCAGCACTCAGAATCGTTAACACCCTTAAGCACCTACCCTACCCATTGCATCTCTAGAACTTTTTTGTGGGGTGACTGGAGGTGACTCCTATTCTTACCTGATACACAGCCTAGGTAGGTGTCATTTATAGTGGTTATAGGCAGTAGGCAAGAAGCCACGTCATGTCTTCACTCAGACGTGCACCATGTGCCAATTTCCCTTTGCCCTAAAGCACATGGGGGCCATAGTGGTCCTGTTGTGAAATGAGCTTGCTTTTGAGTAGGGGGGCTGCCCAATAGAGTCTGGCTTAAGGTAGGTGAACTTGATATGGTTCAGCTAAAGGTAAGGCTGCTTGATTTCTTGGAGTGGTTATTTCTCCTATATTCTGGAGCCTTGAGGCCATTCAGTAGTATGAGAGGTTTTGTGGAATAGCTCCACTAATGATTTCCACAATCAAATTCCCTCTTAGAAGCCCAGAGGTCTAGATATTTACTGTAGTCCTGCCCACTTAAAACCCACCTAAGAGGAAGTTATTTGTGGAGTAGAACTGAGCATCCTCTATTATTTCTGGCTGCCCTCCCACCATGATTCCAGAAGTTCCTGAATACTTATCATAGATGATATCCTGATTTGTAGCTCAAAAGGTAAGACATTTTACTTAATTTTTGATTTTGTGTTTAATAGTGAAAAAGCAAAACTATAGATGGAAGCTTCTCTTTGGAGGGAGTGATTCAGTTATTGGTGAAGTTAGAGGATTTGATTTCTAACTCCCAGGCCCACCCACTAAATATATGACCTTGAATAGGCAAGTCACTCAGAACTTTGTGCCCCAGTTTCCTCATGGTGTTTTTGTTTGTTTGTTTGTTTGTTTTTTAATGTCTACACTATAGAGTAAAATGTCAAGCACTCAAAATAGTGCTTTGGTTAAAGTAAGTCCTCTACATAAAGCATGAAACAAGATTATCATAGGTGCATCTTCTGCACTGATAAAGTCATCCAGACCAGAGAATCTGAAGATAGGCCTTGTTTTTAGACGAGAGCTCTTACAGCCTTTCTGGAGAATGCCAGTTGGCATGGTTCCTGTAGGGTAATTAGGTACTGTTTGGTTACTTTAAAAATATATGTCTTTTAATTCAGTAGAACCTCATTGGCTCAAAATTTTCCTTAGGGTAAATGTCAGAAATGTTTGTCAAAATACCTGTATAAGACTTTTCCCCCCACCAAAATATCTAGGAAAAACTGGAAAAGTAAAATTATAGCCCCTCCATTTATTCCACAGGTGCTTATACAACTATTAGAATGGACAAGGTAGATCTATAGAGGCATACCTAAAAATGTTTCAAGTGATAAAGATATACTAGTGTCTTCTATGGCACTCCCTTGGTGTCCATTTACACATAGCTATACATATTTACATAGACAGTGGTGTGTGTATATATAATTTTTTTTTCCTATTAAAAGCACATCTACAGGGCTGGGGATGTGGCTCAAGCGGTAGCATGCTCTGGCATGCGTGGGGCGCTGGGTTTGATCCTCAACACAACATAAAAATAAAATATAGTGTCCACCTAAAACTAAAAAATAAATATTTTTTTAAAAARCACATCTACAAATAAAGATTGTATTAAATAGTCTTTAAGGCGGGGTACAGATCGGTGTGTCTGTTCATAATGAACTGAATTTCCTGGGAAATTCAGTTAATGCTAGAGTGATATGAGATTACAGTTAGTGTGGGTACCTCTTAACTTCYTGCATTTGCACACAACTATTGGACTCTCGCTTATCCTTAGGGCTGTTAAGTATAGAGAGCAGGCTAGCACTGTATCCTGGGTATGTGGTAGCTCCGAGTAGGCTTCACCTTTCATAGAGCTGGGTCCTGGGTATGTGGTAGCCCCAAATAGGCTTCAGCTTTTCATGTTACTTTAGTCTGTTTTCTACAATAGAAGACTTAAAGGAAGTCTTGCTAAAGACTTGCTAAAAAATGGCATACCTTTCCCTGGTTTGAGGTCCCTGGAAGAAAGCCAGTATGAATTCAAGAAAATCCAAATTGATTTTTTAAAACATAGGTATTTAGATGAAGATTTGGTCCACTATGTTTAATGAATAAAAAGGATGTTATACTTCATTGATTCTAAAATATACCCTCCTGCAATAATCCCTATAGGTATTAACAATCTTGAAATGGGAATGAGTCTTAAAATCAATGATAGGAGAAAACTTTGATTTATGACCTTGTTAGCAGCATCTTTTCCTTTCCCTTGTATGATACAAGCTATATACATCAGTATTGTTCAGTAAAGGCAAAAGTTTTTAACTCAAGGCTTTGAAGTGTTGACAAGCTTACTACCAGTTTGTTTAAAWTAGTAAGTAAAGAGTTTACAATTTAAAAATGTATGATAAGCTTTATTAAAACTGCAAAACACTGAAGAAAGAAATTGAAGAAGACCTTTGAAGATGGAAAGCCTCCCACATTCTTGGACAGGCAAAATTAATATTTTCAAAATGCCCATACTACCAATTTCTGCATTTCTTCACCTTTCTCATCCCTTTTCTCTCCCTCTCCATCTCCTATTCCACTTATCTTCCCTATCTTTATGATAGCTGACCCCTACCCCTCTTTCCCCCATCTTACTTTATTCTAGCTTCTGCATATGAGAAACTATTCAACCCTCGACTTTCTCTGATTCTGGCTTATTTCACTTCCTATGATGTTGCCCATAATTTCTTTCTTCTTTATGGCTGTGTAAACTCTGTTGTGTATATATACCACAGGTTAATCCATTCATCTATTGACAGATAAATTGTACTGCTATAAACATTGTTGTGACTGTATCACTATAATATAGTACGCTGATTTTAGTTCTTTCAGATAAATGCTG